CCGTTAATGACTTCATGATTATACAGACCTGGAAAAAATTGGAATATCAGGATCCTGGATCCAATGTGCCTTAGCAAAAAGATGGCGGAACATTATTTTTCACATGCATATACGATTTTAAGAGAATCTTATATAAGCAATCTTCATATCATACTAATCATTTGAGATTGTAAAGTGTTGTTCAATGTTCAGATTTGGCGCATGTAGGGTCAAATTTTGCATTGTGTTTACGCGCTTTTGAGGAGCATTTAAAAAGGCAAATTCAGGATCCGAGAAACATCACGAGGAACATTAAACACTTTTCCAGGTCTATATGTAGATTTAGTGCCATGATGGAATTTTTAACAAGTTCAGGAAATCTATAGTGTCATTTTGTTCAATTGTATTTGCAGCTTACATTCCTATCTGAATTGTGCCTGATAAGACTGTCTACATCTATGTTTCTCGTTCAGGTATTATGAATTTGACAACACGGTGGTGAGAGAAATACTAGGCAAAAAATTGACCACAAGGTTAAGAAAAGACCTGGATGATATATCAGAAAGAACAAGTGTTCCTTTGAAGAGTTGTAAAAGACAATACGACAACATCAAGAATATATTTAAGGCAGTAGAGGACTCAACAGGAGATTTAGTGAATAACATCAAAACAGAGTTTTTGCTGTCAGAGAATCTGTCCAAGTAAGAATTAGATTTTATTGTTCTGTGTCTGTTCTGTGATTCCTCTCGTACCCAGACACTTTGGTTCCACACCGCTGCGTGATAAGCGCGTGGGATGTCACGCGAGGGAAAGCAGAAACGTCGGCGGGAAACTTCCCGCGATTTAGAATACTTCATTAAGCAGGACACAGTAAAATGCCTATATATACAATACGATTAGTCGTATACAATTCTCATCCTGACGTGTGTACTCGAATAAATACCTGTATTTCAAATTTCCATAAACTGATGAACAGCAATAGCGGCGTCAACAGTCGTTTTCATACGTCAGAATAACAATCCTATACGACTATTATTGTCTTCAGTAACAGTAGAGTTCTTTGTTTGCATCAAAATAGCATCTTGTTGGAATCAAGAAAAGACTGAGGCATGTCATTTCATTTCGCAGGTCATACGCATGTATAGTATTTATGTCATATCACAAATTTGAAACAGGAAAACGGAGGTACGTTGGGATTATATTTGGCGAAATAAATCATCGTATAATTCAATGTTCTTTATGGCTAAAGAGTAAAGTGTGATATAAGACGAAAGGAGATTAATTATACAGGCTCGTATATTTTGCAGGTTATCGTATTTGACGTTTACAGATTGTGCTTATTGCGTTGAACAGATGATTACTAACTGGACGATTAACTCGTCTGGTAACGTATAACTTTTTTTATTTTCCCTAGTCAATACTTTATATATGCCATCAGACTTGGAAAAAGTATCCAATGTTCCTCGGATCCAGTTTTTCCCATTTCAAATGTTCCTCAAAGCGCGCAGAAAGTATTTTGTTTTGCATAAATTGACTACCTATATAAAAACCGTTTAAAAAAGTATTAAAATATACCTTATTGGATTCTGATCGTTTAATTGGCTGTTTATGGTCACGTGATATTGCATGGATAGAAAATTCCATTTCCCAGGAGTGTAGATATGTTCCTCGTCGCATACTGTTAGCAAAGTATAGAAGTACCGCATTGTCGCATTTATACTAATGGATGAAAATTAGAAATTTTTCAGAAATTCATATTTTGGCGGCTAAGTTGGCTAACGAATACTGAATGCCCTCATCGAAATTCACAATGTTCCTCAGTCTTGTTACTCAGGCAAATGTTCCACAGGATACAGGATCTCACTTTTTTCCAAGTCTGTATACTATGTCCAGTCGAACATCTTCTTACGGAGACATCTCTAATACAGACACTTCTCGTTTACGGACACTTCTCTAATACGGACACGTCTCTAGCGCGGACACTTCTCTAATACGGACATGTCTCTAGCACGGACACTTCTCTAATACGGACACTTCTCTAATACGGACACGTCTCTAGCGCGGACACTTCTCTAATACGGACATGTCTCTAGCACGGACACCTCTCTAATGCAGACACTTCTCGTTTACGGACACTTCTCTAATACGGACACGTCTCTAGCACGGACACTTCTCTAATACGGACACGTCTCTAGCGCGGACACTTCTCTAATACGGACACGTCTCTTTTACGGACATTTCTCTAATACGGACACGTCTCTAGCGCGGACACTTCTCTAATACGGACATGTCTCTAGCACGGACACCTCTCTCATGCAGACACTTCTCGTTTACGGACACTTCTCGTTTACGGACACGTCTCTAGCACGGACACTTCTCTAATACGGACACGTCTCTAGCACGGACACCTCTCTAATACGGACACGTCTCTAGCACGGACACCTCTCTAATACAGACACTTCCCGTTTACGGACACCTCTCTAATACGGACACGTCTCTAGCACGGACACCTCTCTAATACAGACACTTCCCGTTTACGGACACCTCTCTAATACGGACACGTCTCTAGCACGGACACTTCTCTAGCACGGACACTTCTCTAGTACGGACACGTCTCTAGCACGGAAACGTCTCTAATAAGGACAACTCTTTATTATGGGTACTTCTCTAATACAGACACTTCTTCATTATGGACAATTCTGTATTATGGACATGCACCTCTCTAATACAGACACTTCTTGATTATGGACAATTGTGTATTATGGACACTTTTTAATACGCTCAGGCACTTCGATTACGGAGAAATCTCTAATATGACAACTCGCTATGACGGACAACTCTTTAATAGGGATACCTCTTTAATATGGATGCCTCGCTAATACAGAACCTCTCTATTAATACGAATACCTGGCTAATATGGACATCTCTCTAATACGGACGTCTCTCTCTCTATTACGGGCACATCTCCAATACGGACACTTCTCTATTACGCACTGCTTGCAATGGCAGTGCCCTGATATTTCTTTAGAAACCTTTATAATACAGAACCTCTTTAATACATCTAGAATTAACCTTGTGTTATTCTATGTTGTCTTTTGTTGTGTTTTACTGTGTTGTGAGTATGTATCCTAAGACGCTGTATTTTCCAACCGTACAGCAATTACCGTAAGGTTATCCATGTTATAGATGCAACCGAGTCAGACACAGTTCTAGACATGGATAAAAACTTTCTTCAAGAACTCAGAGACCTTAAAATATTCAGCTCAGACAAAGATATTGCAGACGAACATAAAAGGGCTGTTTTTACTGAATTGAAAGCCAAAGCGTCGAAAGAGATTGCAAAGATGTACGACCCACATGTGAAGGTATATATAGCTAATATCAGTGACGCTATTGCCCAGTAAACTATCTTGGCTTAAATTTCATACTTAAATAATAAAGCTTTCACACGTCTATCAAAATTACAGTATATCATTAAGACTTTCGCTGTTGTAAAGTCATTATTACAGCTTTGTCACACAGTTATAATTAGATATCATCTAAAGGCTTTTAGAAATTTTTAGAGAGGGAGGTCAGTTGCCCCTGTAGAGTCCGCCACTGATTATTGTAATACTAGTTATTTCATACGCAAAGGCCGTCGGGTTTTAAAGCCATTATAAAATCAATATTTAAAACAAACTTACCTTCGTTAACGTCGGCTCCCTTCTTTTAGCTGATTCTTTCGCAGTTTCTTTCTGAGAGAGCTTTTGAAATTTACAAAATCTTGCCAAAATGCGAGCAAAAATGAAATATATTTGCAAGAAATTTATCAATCATCAAATCAAGAAATGTTTGCTATTTCGCTGTCGTCATGCAGTCGTTATAATGCAAACTTTAAATTAAATTGGACCAATCAGTGTCCGCTATTCATGACAGTCCGCCATATTTTTGAGATCAGTGAGGATGACCACCCACCGAAACATCGTTGGTCAGCCACGCCCGCGATATTTGATGAACTTTAGACTTCGCTAATGCTTTTGTTTCCCCGGGTGTAAATAGCCGGGGGGGAATTAGTACCCTCGCACGGCGCTTCGGGCCGCCGACTCGGGGATAATAAGCGTAACCTACTGGAAGGTATTATAGCATATAAAACACCACAATTAGCTGATCTTAACGGTCGAATGCTACTGTTATCTTTTTAGAACTTTGATCGTATTTTGATTAGTATTGGTGCTGATCTCATTCATCAGAAGGACTTGAAGGATATCTTCTTAGATTTAGTTGAGAAGGTAATTATCTCAATAAAGTTAATTAGTTAAGGCCTGTTTCAAACGTCGCGCTTCTCATGTGCCGAACGTATTAGAAACAATAAATAATGAGACATTTCAGCTGATTATCTATTTTTTCTAATGCGTTCGGCGAATGAGAAGCGCGACGTTTGAAACAGGCCTAAGCCTCATTTCTATTGGTCGCGCGGCTATATCGCTATCAAGTTTTGGTCGCCGATGTGAAATGTGAAATCGACTGGATCTTATTTTTGCATGCTATTTGCAAATCAGTCTTGAATGGACCTTTCCCCTTATAACTAAAATTTTGATCTAGACAAAAATTTCATCACAGCTTGAAAGAGCATCACAAAATTAGTAATATTCCAAAGTTTCGTTGCAAAATGCGGATAATATATAGCCATGCGAAGTTTGCAGTTTTTTCAGTCATTTTGTATTACGCACGGGAAATTGACAGCCCAATCAGGTGTTCGGGCATCAATTTCCCGTTTGTAAATCTAAAATGACTGAAAATTGCAAATTTCGCAAGGCTATAGCCTATTATCCGCATTTTAGGCTACAACATTTCGCAACGAAACTTTGGAATATTACTAATTTTGTGATGCTCTTTCAAGCTGTGATGAAATATTTGTCTAGACTTGTCTAGATCAAAATTTTAGTAAAAAGGGGAAAGGTCCATTATTGCAGAAATACATCGATACTCTATTCCATCAGTCACCTTGGCATGTTCTCAACACATCATGAAATTAATTATAACGTTACCACACCCAATTAAAGGCACAGTTCAGCCTTTTGAATGATTGTTAGAAACATGCATTGAGTTTACTCATCTTGAATTGTGCATAATTGATTTTCCTAGGTTTTTCACTCAAAAGTCTGAACTGTACCTTTAAATGACATGTGGTGGCCACGGTAATAATCCTCAGTGTTTTAATCTTCTATATAATAATTTTCCTCAGATAATTTTATCTTATAGTTTATAGAACCTTGTAAACAAGCGAATTTGACCGTCAGTGGTTTGTCGATGTTCCTTCAAGCACTTATGACAACTTGCGAGAAACTTTCCTCTGTGCAAAAGTATGTACTTAATAATAATATTGTTTATTAGCATGACAAAATTACTGGATGCTGATTGGTTGAGAGGAGTACAATTATTTCATTAATTGTACTGCAGTACAATTAATGATTTTCCCAAGACAAACAACATGATACATGATACAATTGGTTAGCACTATTTTCCATCCAGCAAACCGCCCTATCGATTTTATAAAGTCTTTCTTTTTGGATTTTTGTTATTAATTCGGTTAGGGTTAGAGTTAGGGTTGCGGTTAGGGTTAGGGTTAGGGGTTAGAGTAAGGGTAGGGTTTGGGTTAGTTACATTGCCATTTAACACCTCTTCCATCTTTCGAAAATGACGTCAGATCAGTTTGCTGGATGGAAAATAGTGCTAACCAATACAATTGCCCTAACAAAATACAATGAAATTGCCCTAGAGGATTAAGAGGAACTAGATGAAAATACGAACAAAAGCACAAAAGTTGCTTTAACAAAATAGGCCGTATTCCCTGGTCCCAAAAGTCGCTTAGAAAACGATTTTTGTTGCCCCCCTTCGGGCACTACTTTAAATTTACATGAATCTATAGATTTTTATACGCTGAGTTCGAATTCACTTGTTGTCACTCGCACAAACCTGCAGTTTTTTTGTATTTTACGATCAAAAATCAACATTTTTTATTAACATTTCCGCCATTTTGTTCAGGAAACTTCATGTTATATACAGTTATTGTACTAGTTCAAGTCTCTTAGCAGGGGGGTTGCACGCGGTATTACGCATTTTTTATCATTCTTCTGAGGAAAATATACAGAAATGAATAAAAATATAGATATGTTTCCACAATATTAAAGTGCGAAAGGTAATAATACATGTTTGTAAATAATCAGGAACTAATCTACTGTTCTTGTCATCCATAAAGACTCACTTGCCCTTGGTAAAGTTGTTTATTTTATTTATTATTGAAATTATGTACATAATTTTAGCCTTGCAATGTGAATAGGCAATTTTCCTGGGTATTGTCTACCTGAAATTTTTGTCAACAATAAAGTTTTGAAGGTTTTATCCCTCAGAGAGATTTCAAAATAAATTTTAACTTTGAAACTTTCTAATCTCCTAGGCGAGCCAGCCCAGTAACCCGAGTTGATTTCATGAGTTGATTTCCGAGTTGATTTCTTGTTTACAAGAGACTTTTGAGGCGGGCTGGTTCGCCAAAACAGATCACTGTTATAAATAGTATAATATAATATTTTTTACTTCTCAAGATCTTGCCTTGACAGGCCAGCCCAGTTCCATATAAATGCAAGATGAATATTAGTTTAAATTACATAGCGACGTTAGATCTTGGCAAAGCGAGCTAGCTCGGGTATCCGGCTGGCTTGGGTACCCCCTAAGGAAATGAAGAAATGTTATTTACATCAATATATTGATGTGAATAGAGTATTATTTAATGCCCAGCTGTTATCCAAGATCTAAGGCATGGAAAAAAAGAGTCTTGGCTAGGCAGCTAGGCTAGCCCAACTGGAAAGAAGGTTTGTGTAACTAATGCATATTGGTAGGTATAGTGATCCCAGATTACTTTAATTAAATTTCTAGTGCCTGCCTGGCCAAATATAAATTAATAAAGTATCCCTCCTCCAAGTGCTTGGTAATGAGTGGCAGCTCAAATAGGATTAGAGCTTATTAAGGTGAGGATGTATCATGACAATATGTTGTTAAACCTCATTATGCAATTCAAATGGCTCGACCAATTCATGTCTCTAGGTGGCATGACTTTGAGATTTGCTTGTGTGAATATAATTTTTTGCTTAGTACCTTTGTTCCAGCAAGCCCATGCATATGCTTGCCTCAACAGTGTCACATAAATTGAAACACCAAGCAAGCTATTGTAGCTGTAATCAATTGGGGCTATGTCCTGTATGGCCACCATTTGCTAATGTAAATACTTTAATAACAATAAAGTGATTAAAAAAATATGGCTAATCTAGGCTGGGTTAACTCCATATAAACAGACCAAAAGTGAGCTGTCAGTCTGTCTTAGAGTGAAAGACATCTTCCAAAAGTTTTTTTTACAAAGCTCAATGTCATGATAGCAAAAATTTTATTATAATACAAGAAAATGGAACATACCATAGTTAATAGAATAGATGGTTTGGAAACTCATTAGAATAACAATATATATACCTCATTATCTACAGGTATGTTAGTCAACGTTTACAGAGGTGTAACTTTAAAACACTTGCCCGGGGCAAGTGAATATCATGACGGGCAAGTAAACGTTTTATCTTGCCCGATTGGGCAAGTTGCCTCTTGCCACAAAAAGCTCGGCTTTCATTATCAGATAATTTTTTTATGGCGCATGTACTTGATTCAAATTTTGTTTTTTGTGGGCCAAAGCTAGATCTAAGGCAGTATAACATAGCCACATAGAGAATGAGTCGACATGTTGCCCCCTTGATTTATACCCCCTGGCAAATGAATTTTATTCAGGGCAACTAATTTTCATGTCCAATTAACTTGCCCTGAGAGCAAATGGTCAAAAAAGTAAAGTTACACCACTGGTTTATTCATAAATCTGGTCTCCGTATTTTTGCCCAACTAACCAATAGCAATGTCTTAGGAAAGTTACCTATCCGTAACTCAAACAATAGGGTAAATTGAAAATTGCAAGAATACAAGGTGGATTTGGCAAGAATACAATACACACATGAGGATGAAGGACCAGATTTATGAATAAATGTTGACTAACATAAATAATGAGTTTGAGAGTTTCAGCCAAACCATCTATTCTATTAACTGTGATGGAACTCATTATGTGCAGATTTACTAAATGGATGAGCTAATTTGATTGAAGTCAACTGCTACTAATGGGCAATGGTCTATTTGTGTTAATAAATTACCTAGGTGACTAGGTCTAACATTTTATACTAAACAACAAATAGGTCTAACATTTATTAATTAAACAACAAGTACTGTATATTGTGCTCCTTATTTATTGTTAACAAAAATTTGAAAGAAAAATTGCCTATTCACATTGTAAGGCTAAAATTATGTACATAATTTCAGTAATAAATAAAATAAACAACTTTACCAAGGACAAGTCAAGTGAGTCTTTGTGGATATAGACCATATAGTGACAGTCTTTGCAATTTCACATCAAGGTGAGGCCAAAAACCCAACGGTTGGCGCAATAAAGAATAGTAGATTAGTTCCTGATTATATACAAACATGTATTATTACCTTTTGCATTTTAATATTGTGAAAAATATCTATATTTTTATTTCTGTACGTATATTTTCCTCAGAAGAATGATAAAAATGC